AAGATGATGTATTTATTTTGCGTCGTTATTAGGGAGAATGACTCTATTATTCTGTTACAATCGAGGGGGAAACAACAGAGACTTCACGCCTGGAGTCAAATGAAGTCTCATGAAGTCTTATGAAGTCTTGCGAAGTCTTATGAAATCTTATGAAATCTTATGAAGTCTCGTAAAGTCTTTTGAAGTCTCATGAACTGTCGTGAAGTCTTTAGAAATCACTTGAAGTCTTTGAAGTCTGTGAAGTCTTTTGAAATCTTTTGAAGTTTATAAAGTCTTCTAAAATCTACGAAGTCTCTTGAAGTCTGTGAAGTCCATTGAAGTCTCTTAAAGTCTCTTGTAGTCTGTTGAAGTCTATCGAAGTTTTCTGAAATCTTTCGAAGTCTTTCGAAGTCTTTTGAAAAATTGAAGTCTCCCTTGTGGAAGTCTCTTGAAGTCTTTCGAAGTCTTTGAAGTCTTGAAGTCTTGAAGTCCGCTGTTACCCCCTTGCGTGAAAATAGACACAAATCGACTAAAATTAAAAATAAGAGAATAATCAGAACGAAGATGCAGAAAATTCATATATATCAATACACTGGTCCAATTTGACATCAGAAGCAACAAAAAATTGAAACAACTCAATTTGCATCAAACTGTGAAGAAAAAAGATTTGCAGTTATTGTCTGTTTTTTTCTATTTTTATCAGAGTCGGAGTTTAAAAGGGCTGAGTTATAACTTGAGTTACAACTTTTGAGTTATAGATAATCAACTTTTCGGTTCAAAAGCTATTTTTGGTTATAACTTTAAACTGTGTTTATAAGATTTAACCGTGGTTAATGTAAGTTATCATTTCAAATCTGTGAACTGGGTAGAATTTCTATCTCTTTAATTTTAGTGAGTAAATGAACCGAAGCCGTATTTTACAATATAGTTCATACCATTTTAACATTACCTTCTAAAAAATTCGTATTGTCTCCTGAAATAAAGTTCAATTTTTAATTAACCCTAGTAAGGTGCAGCTAATGCAAAATTAAAGCAAAATTTTTTTTGCTTTTTTTATACATGGTTGGATAGAGCTCGTCAAGCTGAGTAAGAATATATCAGTTTTAATACTTTTTTGAAAAGTTTTTGGTGAAAAATTTTGATTTTTTTTCAAAGTACCAAATAATCCATTTTCTTGAAAAAAAAAATTTCAGAAATAAAAAAAACTGATTTTTTAATGTTTTTTCCAATTTTAGAGATTTTTTGAGTGTGTGGGTGTGGGGTGGGTGTGGGGTGGGTGTGGGTGTGGGTGTGGGTGGGTGTGAGGTGGGTGTGGGGTGGGTGTGGGGTGGGTGTGGGTGTGGGTGTGGGTGTGGGTGGGTGTGGGTGTGGGTGTGGGTGGGTGTGGGTGTGGGTGTAGATTTTAGTTGATTGAGTACCGGTAGTAACGTCAACATGCACACGCGCACTCATACTTACACCAACACCCACCCACACCCACACTCACACCCTCGTTATAAAATCAGTCGAAAAATAATAAGAGAAATTACTAGGTAAAATAATCTTGCTAATAATTGTAGACCTATCTTAGGATCCACGACGATCCATCAGGATCCAAAAAATTCAGAGGATCCGAGGATCCAGGATCCGCCTTTTCTCCCTTGGGGTGAAGCAAAGTTTTCAGAAAATGTGATACAAGGAACGTGGATCCAGCAACTGTCAGGTGACCATAATCATAGGTTGTTAGTGTGCCGATACTGTTTCCAGTTCTCATTAAGCAACCATCAGAGTTGCAGAATATTTTGTATGGAGAAATATAGTTGATCTTCATTTTGAAAGCAAAAGCTTCCATTTTCTGATCTAAAGTATCTATGTTCGGAACTAAACCACTGCTCATGCGCATGGGCACTTGGTCTAATTTATACTTCAACCTATAATTATAAAGATTCTTTGGTAAGGTATTCTGCCAAATCGGAACCGGTCCCACCAAATAAATGTTCTTTATAGTTGCATTCTTCAAGGTTTTAATAGTGTTTGTTAAGTTTTTCCAATCGTACGTGAACCAATAAGCTGCAAGTATTACTGTATTTGGTTTTTCATTCAAGATTCTTTTTAAAATATAGTCGCGTATCCGTTTACAATATCGATTATCTTTAGCCTCAAATTCAGTAATTGGAGGACAACCGCTTGCCGTCAGCTGTGTCAGCCGCAAATTTGGTTTATCAGCTTTTATTCCAGGATAAAGATGACCTGCATGCGAGTCACCCCATAGTATTACAGAACTCGAGTTAGGCTTTTCGATGTTATCCACGCAGTTGCCAAATTTTGTTACATCTTGTGCGCGATCTAGGAGGCATGTTCCATGTCTATAACTCCGCGCAGAAATTAGAAAATATTTCTTTTCAAAGTTTGTAATCTCCTGAATGACTTTTGGGTCTCGATAGGATAAGCCGTCATATTGATTTGTGTAGTTACCTAGAACTTTTGAAAATCGATAGGAAAAATCAGTATATTGATTTGTGTAGTAACCTAAGAAGCCCATACCTATCATCGAAATGCATAGTAAAGCAAACTTTATGTTCAGAAACCGTCCCAGTCGAAACGGCTTGTCAATACAAATATGAGTAACCCAAGAAATAATGATACTCAAAAAAATGATACCAGTGCGTATATAGTTAGAAACGTTATTTTTAAGGATAATGCTTATATATGTAAGAAGAGGCCAATGCCAAAGATAGAGTGGATAACTAATCAATCCGATCCCAACAAGTACGCGTGATGAAAGAATTTTTCTATTGATCCAAGGCGTTGCACCGACAGAAATTAGGAGTGCAGTGCCGATGGTCGGGGCGGCTGCCCACCATCCAGGAAACACAGATGACTTTGTGAGAAAACACATCGGTAATATGACCAAAAGTAACCCAATAACTGATGTGACATTACGTAATGTAGAGCCGTTGGATTTAGATACTTCACTGAATGTTAAAGCTATGAGCATTCGATCTAATCGACATTTAATATTTTCAAAATAATCCTTCGTGTGTATTGTCATAAAAGCTAGACATGCTCCGATCAACAATTCCCACACACGTGTCGTCGGCCAGTAAAATGTTTGTATACTATTAGTTTTCACTCTAATAATATTTAGTGTAAATGAAGAAAGTGTAAGCCCAACTGCAAGCGTTACCAAATTCAACTTTGCTTTCCATGAAAAGTAAAGAAGGATCGGCCATATTATGTAGAATTGCTCTTCAATGCCAAGAGACCAAAGATGAAGCAAGGGTTTAGTGTCTGAGGCGTCATCAAAATATCCAGATTCGCTCGACAGTAGAAAGTTAGACAGAAATCCTGAAGCGGCAACAATATGGGCACCTACTTTTTTCATGTCGAAGGGATGAAGAAAGTGTTGGCCTGCTAAATAACAAGCAACTAGCACTACAATCAACGATGGAAAAATTCTTCTAACTCGACGACCATAAAACCGAAAGAAAGTGAATGAACCCGCATCGAGTTCTTTATATATGATTGAAGATATCAAATAGCCAGAAATAACGAAAAACATGTCCACGCCCACAAAACCACCGGTGAGATAAGTTCGAAAAACATGAAATATTATCACTGCAGAAACAGCGATTGCTCGTAAACCGTCAATATCAGGTCTATAATTTGGATTAACAGGGATTTGTTGATATGATGGTGTCCAAAAAGATTCCCACTCCTTGACGACACTCTCCATAATACCAGTGAATGTTATCATTGACGGCCGATGCACTGAAAAAAAAACTTTCTGCCCCAGTGAAAAATAATCATTGAAAATAACAGTGTAGAACACGGTCCAGAAAAAGAAATGCCCGTTTTTTCTTAAAAAAAGTGTTCCACAAAATTTGGAACGTGTTCCAGATAGGGTCCTGCGGGACCGGGTTTTTTCGTCCCGATCCCGATTATATCCCGCTTGGATGAAACCCGTCCCGGTCCTGTTTAAACCCGATTTTTCTGGATCTACCAGAAATAGCTTTTAAACGCATATGTGGAATAAGACGCAACTCGATAGCATTTCATAGTATTACGATTCGTTGATAGAAAGCTGACGTTGAAGCGTATATTATAATATTCTGAGCTCTTTCAGTCAGATGCTATATCAAATTAATCGCTTAAGTCGAAAAGAGAATGCATATTCGAGAAAGATAAAACAGTTCAATACATTTAAAGTAAAACGAGAAAAATCGAAGACAAGATCAATAAGGACAAATCTATATCATCAAAGACAGGAACGAAAGTCAATCGATGAATATAAGTCGAGCGACGAGCACGAAGGTGAATAGCAGACACCTTCAGTATCGAAGAAGCATCGAACTGGAAATAATAACACCGTATCGAGTGAAGATGAACTCAAAGAATAATCAAAACTTGTTGTTTCTTCAACCT